ACTGAGCACATGCGACATTTGGTAAGGAATTTTAAAAGCCTTTAAAATCTTTTTAATATGAATATTAATGGAATTATATTACAGAAAGAGATGCTGGGTAGAGAACCAACTCCTGTGGAATTGCATAGTCATACCCATAAGCGACAGGACCAACAATGAGTTGGTGAGCGAGCAAGAAAAGCCCATATATATAAGTATATGTGTTTAATATTTTTTAATTTATGTCTAAATAAATTGCTTACATTTTTATTAACTTTCATAGGAGGAGTATACACGATTTCGAGAGAGCGAAGCTGCAGTAGGTGAGGGTTCTTCTAGCTGCTCTGTAGAGTATTCTGAGTATGCTCTGTAGAGTATTATGAGTATTGCATTTGGTCCCAAGCGGTAGGAGGAATGCAACATGACATAGTTTATGGTTTAGGTTCGTAAGCCCTGACATACGATGGGATGACCTCTAGCAGATCCAGCTTTGCAGTAAGTTCACATGAGTTCTTACATAGTCAACAGATAACTGCCCTTCAAGCGGTGCTAGAACAAGTAATGAAATCACAAGCTGATTGGCAAGTGCAGTTGCAAGTACAGATATAAATGTAGATGCATGTGCAACACAATGCATGTGCAACACAATCAGTTGTTGGATGAAATACAAAAAATGAGGGAGCAGTTGAGTGGAAAGAAGGTAGCTCCAGCAGATGATGAGTCGACAGTTTCAGTGTATTTGTTTAGTTTTTTTAGTTTTTGAATATTTGGTGAAGTTTATGAATATTTGTTGATATTAATGAATAATTTATGATATTTTTGAATATTTGGTGATGTTTATAATTATGAATAGTTATTTTTGAATATTTGGTAAATTTTGAATATTTGGTGAAGTTGTGGAAATTTGTGTTGTGGAATATATAATGTTGATGTTTATTTATAATTGTAATTTACAGCTTTGGAAATCTGATTGCTGTCTGGGAAGTTTTTTTTTGCTATAGATTTCCGGCGGATAAAACGCTGATAAGCTGCCGGAAATGTCGATACAATGAATTTTGTACCGATCTCCAGCGTATTTATACTCCGGTATTTCTGACGGATATGTGTCGGTTATTTTCGTCATTTTGTTTTCAGCGTATTTAGCGATGGTTGTTTCGCCGGAATTACCGGCGTACAAATACGATGGTAAATACCATCTACTTTTTCGTCGGTTGTGTGCTGGAAAGTACGCCGGAAAGGGTTCAGCGTATTTTTTACGTCAGAATGTTTTTACCGACGTGCAAATTACCGTTGTATGGAAATGCGACATAAACGTTAATTTTTCGTTGAATTTTTTAACTTTATCGACGTATTCTATCTATCGGTAATGTCGGGTGTTTTGCTGTAGTGAAAGTACAAAATAATAAATTGAAGTCTATCAGAACTTTCAAAGTATAAATAAGAAAGAATATCTAAAATCCAATCATGTCTTATTACTAAATGGGTTTTCAATGGAGGTATCTTCAACTCCAATTGTATCTATGAATGTCAAATCTTCGTCATCTTCAATTTTACCCACTTTTCTCTTCCCTCCGCAATGATGTATTTGAATATTCCTTGACCCTAACCATATTTCCTAATACACAAATGCAAAATCAAACAAAAAATCTCAAAAAAATTTAAACCCTTGATGTCATAAGATGAAGATTGATGTTGAGTGCTTGGTTCCTTAGTTGATTTTTTTGGCCTTTCTTGCCTTTTGCATCAAGTGAACATGATTTTTTGAGGGTTCTTAAAAACAACAAACTTGATTGTACTCATGTTTCCCCAAGATTAATGCAAACTTGGATACGGACAAGTCAAAGTCAGTGATGTCATGAGCTACTATTGCAACATGCAACACATATGCCTATAAGACTTGATCTGTCTCACTTCATTGTTCTTACCCTCTTTCTGAAAACATGTAGCAATCACAAGGTGAGCTAACATCTCAGTAGGTTATTAGAACTTATAACTGGAGTTAATGTATGGTAATAGAAGCAATATGCCTGTAACCATTAAATCCAAATTAGTGTAAAGATGTAATTATAAGATCAAGGGGCAGTCAATATAAACAATACCATTTTATATGAGCAATATAAATCATTAAAAATAATATAATTCAGATTCAATGATCAATGATCAATAGCCATATAAAGAGATCAGTGTGTTTCGTCATTTTTTTACTCATGTTAAAGTACAATGTAACAGGTCTATCATGAATCTGCACATGCCTACAAATTATGCCTTTTTTATCTTAATTTATATGACATTTCATGTGTATTAGTATACATGTCATATCAAACATGCATTCTATATTTGTTCAATGCATATTGTACAACATCAAGTATTGATGCATGTATATCATATATTTCTATTCTATGTAATACAACATGTATGTCATATGTTTTTTATGTATTATATGTCATTATATCAGTCTTATCAATCTTATCAGTCATATTATGTGTCTGTATGAAACATGTCATGTATAATTTATAAATCATATTATATCATGTCTTTGATGCAATTTTTTAAATCATATGTATGTGTAAGCAAGATAGGACATCTGGCCACCTGTGGTGATTTTTCTATATCAAATCCTGTAGGCTAATCGTACAAGAATCAGTCTCAATCATATCAATATTGTTGCTAGGAATCAGCCTCATATCAAATATCATAAGTTAGGTGGCTTATAAAAATAGTCGTCACTTTCTGTACGTTAGCCTATTGTATTATATTAGTCAATCTCATTATACCACCATTTTCATATTACTTATGATCACACCACAAACCTCATCTCAAGGAAAGCCATCGGCCCACACTCCTGTGTAAGATAATGTCTCCAATCAGCTTAAAGTAATTAATCATTTCCAGACAACTTTTCTTGTTAATATACACATTTTATATCATATAGTGCATAATAAAAAATATCACATACACTCAATGCAACTATCATTATACCCATCAGTATGCGTGTCATATATATAAAACACATATTTTATTTCTAAATGAATAATATACGTATGCATATCATGTACTTCATGTCTAAGTGAATTATATTGACTCATGATCATTTTATATTCAATATTATATTATTTATTTCAAATAAAATGACATATAAGTAACACCAACTGATAAAATTTCAATACCAACTAGTTAAAATATTCAGGGCAACGATATTTACTACATATCAAAATCTACATGATGAAAATTCAAACAAGAAATATTATATTTTATCAATTCCATCAGAAAGAAAATAGGCAAAACACAAAATCAATGAAAATAGAGGTAGAGTTAAGGTTCTTTACCACTATCAGAACACTTTTCACAATTGGAGCAATGGATAGATATTACCTGAGAGTAACTTTCTCTCTCATCCTCTCTTCCCTTCTCTCTTTTTTCAGCCAAGCAACACGAAATTCGCGGGTTTTGGGATGATTTAGGGTCTATATTAATAGGATAGTGGATTTAGATATTAAAAAAAAAATCAAATATAATGTCGCAATGCTCTTGAGTCAGCGCCACAGCGCTCACTTGTTGAATTCCAGAAAATCTGAGAGCTTAACGCTGCAACGCCCACAATCTTAGTGTCAGTGTTCCCTCAAATGAATTTTCAGGAATTTTGGAAATTTAATTTGAGGCTATTACAATAGTTGAAAGTTTATGAGAGAAAGGGAAAATATAGTTCATTAAAGGAGCTAATGTTGGGCATTTATAGCTTTGAGCACCACCTTCTTCTAAAGCCTGGAGCTTGACATTTTGAAGTGTTATGTCAAGGAAGAAAAAAGAGTGAGTTACCTAATGGTTGTCGCGATTAAGGTGGTGCAAGTGGCCTCAATTAGAGAAGCTGGTTTGGTCACGCCACTTCTTAGAGGGATGGGAGTTACTAGAAGGCTACTCCCTTCGCTTCTTGACTTGGCAAATGGAAGGTTATGAAATCAAGTGCTTTGTGACTCAATTAATTTACTAAATGTTTATAAACTTGATCGCCTTTTAATTTGTAGCAAGTTGGTTATGATTTCTGGAGGGTTGTTCTACACAACAAACTTTAAAGGGATTGTCGTGGAGCCCTAAGATTAGCTCAAACTTGCCCACTAATAAGTCAAAGACAATGACATCATGAGTTCCCTTGTTGAAATGGGCAACATACTTATAAATGGAAAAACCCTCTCATTTCTTGATACTAAAGAGTTTTTGAGAAAAATTCAAATGGCAGTGGGATGTTGATATTGTTAGTTTTGTATAGTCTAATTGTGTCGATCAAGCAGGTTGTTTGTTGCCTTGGAACTTAATTCCATTAGTCGAGCTTGCTTGGGATTGTAGTCTTGAGGGATGGACTTGTAGTTCTTGGTGTTGGGGATGGAAGTAAAACCACGCGATGCAATAAAAAAAAAAAAAAAAAAAAATGCAACTGAAAGAAACGAACACCAAGATTTAATGTGAGAAGCTCGTTATCGGGAAAAACCCACGGAGCCGCACACACCAAGAAATCCTCTATAAAATTGGGAGAAATAAGTACATATCTTTCATTTCTCTCACTTTCTTATTGCTTCTATTCTCTCTTACACCTTTCTCTCACTCAAAACAAAAGAGAAAGTTAAGTTAACAACACCCAGGGACGCCACCCTTCAGAAAAACAAGAAAGAAAAATTGTTTAATCTGTCTCGCAGCACTGCAACGCTAGTTTGGAGCATTGCAGTGCTCAAATCCATAGCGCTTCGACACTACACAGCGTTGCGGCGCCGAATCTAGAGCAATGCGGCTCTTTTCTCTCTATCTTCTCTTGGTAAACTCTGTAGCCCTAGGGCACTTGGGTACACAGCGCCATGGTGTTGTACGGAGAACACTTTATCAATCAATGCATAATAAAAAATATCACATACACTCAATGCAACTATCATTATACCCATCAGTATGCGTGTCGTATACATAAAACACATTATATAATGTAAGTGAATTTTAATGACTCCTGGTTATTTTATATTAAATAAGTTATAAATTTTTTTAATTATTATTAATTTGTTAAGAAAAAATTTAATATTTAATAATATTTTCAGTAGAAATCGGAAAACTTTTTTATATATGTCGACCTCACTGATTATCTTATTATATGTCTATATTTCATGCAAGCGTACGTAGTTATCAATTTTTTATTATGCCATCGATCTCATAATTGCGTGCATATAGAAACAAAGAAAAATCTTCGCCTATAAGCTTGTTCTCTGTATCTGCAACTGAATTTATTGTTTCCAATTTGCTATTAAATCCATTAAATAATTCTCAAAGGAGGATTTTTCCATATTTTTTTGCTGAAAAGAATGCTCGAGCCTTCTCGATCTTTTTAACCTTGATTAACTACTCTATAACAATATCCGGGGCAGTTTAGGCATTTCAAGTGAGTGTAAGGGCTGGCCTTCCTTTCTTTCCAAAATAATATGTTAGTCCCAGCTGCCTTGAGATGTGTATAAATATGCAAGGCTAAATTAAGCATAGAACCATATAAACAAGGGAAATGGCCAAGTAGCCATTTTTTCCTCTCCAACTCCATTACTCTCTCTATCCTTCTCTACTCTCTTCTCATGGGAAGATCTCCTTGTTGTGATGAGAATGGCCTCAAGAAAGGCCCTTGGACTCCTGAAGAAGATCAGAAGTTGGTTCATTACATCCAGAAGCATGGCCATGGCAGTTGGAGAGCTCTTCCTAAGCTTGCTGGTATCATCTTCTTCCTCCCTTTCTCTTTACATTACCAATCATTTTGTATGAATATGAGCATTGGTAAAAAAAGCATGTTATTGGTCACTTGCAGGATTGAATAGATGTGGGAAGAGCTGCAGATTAAGATGGACCAACTACTTGAGGCCAGATATCAAGAGGGGCAAATTTTCACCTGAAGAGGAACAAACCATCCTCAACCTCCACTCTATTCTTGGCAACAAGTAACTAATCTTTTCCACGCATAACCTTTTTTTATTATTTGTAGATATATAATAAACGTAATTAGAATATGATGATTTCTTTTTTTATTCATTTTCTAAATTGTAGGAATTGTTTTTTTTTTCTCTAAATTGTAGAAAGAATAAATATATTATAGGAATTTTTTTTATGAGAAACAAATCTAATTAGTCAAAAATACGAATTCACACTGACAGATTAAAGTCCATTTGCCTACAAACAACTAATTGCGGACATTTCCAACAAGCCAGAACTTTTTACTTTCATTTCTACATAAAGCAAAGGAGAAATATAACGAAGAACTAAGCTATAACCAGCCAGATAAACTTTCACAACAAACCCATCATCCACTCAAGCCCTCTCACCACGAATCCTTCGAGCAAGTTGAATGTCCTTGGGCATTATAGTAACCCTCTTCGCATGAATGGCACAAAGATTAGTATCCTCAAAGAGACCGACGAGATATGCCTCAGAAGCTTGTTGCAAAGAAGCAACAGGTCTTGAAGTCTTGAGCAATCTCAAGAACCAGGCGCTAGAAAGGGAGTTTACGAATAAAAGCTCTGTGCTCTTCTGATATTTTCTGATCTTTCTCAGCGCAACTGTTCCCGGATCACGCCGCCAGTTGCCGGAGCTGACTTCGTCGCCGCCTTGGTTGCAAGCTGCTTCCTTGGTGCCTTGCTGCCGGCGGACTTGCGGGCAGTTTGCTTAGTCCTAGCCATCTCAAATATTGATCTTTGGGATGAGGGAAAGATATATTATTCACTTGGTGCTTATCTGGGATATGGCGATGATATATTATAGGAATTGTTGAAGTAGCATCTGTTAGAGATTAGATAATTGAAAATAAGCTTAGGTGGTATAGACATGTACATAAAATCAAAGGTAGAAAATACAGCTCATAGATGTATATATATATTTGTAAACAATAAGTTTAACATTAAGATAACACTCACTGCAAAAGTGTAAAACAATAATTTATAAACTCGACTCCAAAGAGTTGGGATAAAGTAAATAACAACGACAATGATTTCTAACTTCTACCAACCAAATGGGCCCATATTGAAATGGCAACATATAGCTACATAGCAGAAATTTATTCTCATATTAATGAAACATCCTCTTCATTTCTTTCCAGGTGGTCAGCTATAGCAACTCATCTTTCTGGCCGGACTGATAATGAGATCAAGAATTATTGGAACACACACTTGAAGAAGAAACTAATTCAGATGGGATTTGATCCAATGACACACCAACCTCGAACTGACTTCACCGCCGCCCTCCCTCACCTCCTTGCCCTTGCTAACCTTGTCGACCACCGCCCCCCCACTTGGCTTGACAGCCTCAAAGCAGAGGCTGCCAAGCTACAATTCCTTCAATACTTCCTCCAATCTGCTCCCTCCAACACAGGATTTGAATCCATAGACAGCTTCTTGAACCCTCAGCCACTCTCTTCTTATCCCATTGAGCAAAACATAGGGAATCAACCACCATTGCTGGAATTACCAATGAGCTATGACTACCAGTCTCTCTTGAGCAATGAAAACTTAAACTATGATGAAAGCAAGCTCCCATTAATGGAGTCTCCTATATCAACTTTGCCTCCACTGATTGATATGTCAAACCCAGGCGATGCCTGTAGCACTTCCAGCTGTGAGGGTAGAGGGAATAGTACTTCGGCCACTTCCTTCTGGCCGGAGTTCTTGCTCGATGATTCCTTTATGAATGAGTTGCCTTGATATTTTCCATCTATATTTCCTCTTTCAGTGTAATTAGTTTCCTTAAATTTCTTCAACGGTTTGAGAAGCTGTTATACAAGTATCAATCTTAATGTGATATTGGTTAGATTGCTGTGCCAAAGCTTTGCTCCACAGTACCAAATAGATCCAGATGTTCAGATATATATATACACACACAGTTTGTATCAATGATTGATCTTATTCCTGTTTTGAAAGAAATTTGTTTCATATATCCTTATTCAAATTTAATGATGACATATTTTATCGTTATTAAATTTATTTTGAGATAATGCAATATAAGAATTAATTTAGTGGTTATATATTGTATTTATTTCAAAATAAATTAAATATTATTATTAAATTGATTAAATTTGTGTCAGGCCCAAATCTTCTATTTTCCTCTTCATTGTACTTTGGATTTTCATGCCTTATCAATAGTTTTATTGTTATTGTTATGACATTAATTGCGCTGTGGGATTGATTGCCTTATCCCTACTTATGTTTGTCTATTTATTGCAATCAGACTAATACTCTTCTTTATTAGTTAATAATATTGAGTTGATATAACAACTACTAAAGCAATAAATAAAATTATCACTATTTTTTTGTGATGATTGTGCTATAAAGTGATAATAAATAGAGCATTGACATGTTTTTTTAGGACATTTATACAAATAAGGCTTTGTTTGGGATGACTTTCTTATTACTTCTTAAAACAATTTTTTAGTACAAAAATTTTAATTTTTGTATTAAAAAACTGCTTTAAGCAGTGCGAAAGCCGTCATACTGAAGACTCGACCTCTTAGTTGATAGTCAAAGTTTTCAACTAATAGACTAAAATGAGATACGTAGACATGTTCTTCATTAGCAATGTAATGTAATCATCAATCAACTATTTATCTTCTGAATAAATATACAAAGCTATAGTTGATGCAAAATATTTTATGAATAAGAGATTTTAGAACTTCATCACTAAAGTCAATTCTTAATAAGGATATATGATTTTAGTAAGAGCTTTAGATTTCCTAATTTTGCATCAATTGTAAAGTCAAAAGCATGATCAGGAATTTTTAAATGACCTCAAGAACAACAATTTACTAGCTGATTTTTTTTTTGTTAATGATTAGGTGTTAACTCAATAATAATCATGAGAAATAAAAATTAAGAGAAATAGTATAGTTAATATAAAATTGATAAGGAAATATAAATGAAATTAAGAGTTTTTAGGTTTAAATAGTTTGATTTATTGATTCAAAAGATTCCTTCTATAAGCATAGATCTCATAGAGATTTTAAACACAAATAATTTTAAATAAAGAGTTATAACATAATTATTCAATAATTATAAATTAAAATTTAACAAGTTTTTTTATTTTTTTATTTTTTATTTTTTATGTGTGATTTGCTTAAATTTTAGAGAGATAGAATGAGGGCTCCATATAATTATAAAAAGGAGTTGGTGCTATCTATTATTGCTTTAGATGGCAAATGGGTTTATGATTGTTATGCTAAACTCTACTTAATCTACCATTTAATCTAATAATAATCAAGCATTATGTTAATAAGACAATTTACAATATGAAAATATATTCTAAATTACAAAATCAAGAGTGTTATATATGAATACAAATCACTATCAATAAATCATCAAATAATTAACAAAGCAAATGCTTGTCATTTTCAATCTCTAAGAGAATCAATCATAATAATCAAGAACAACTTTTCTTACTAAGCATGCATTGGATTCCAAAGTTATTAACATATACCTCAAATTATTTTTCTTAATGAGCAGTTGAACTTTGCCTTTTCCTTCAAGACATTGACTTGCAAGTCCATCAAAATTAAGACATCACTATGAATCCCATAATAAATAATAGATAGATAAATATTTTTTTTTATGTCAACCCTCAAGGTTTTTATGGTCTTTTTCTCATGAAAGGGGTTTATTTAGTGAAAAGCTTGACTAAAAGTAGGGTTGGTTAGGGTTGTCAAGGAAATGTTGAAAGGTTTGATAGTGAAGTTTGTATAGCATATTAAGTTTCCTATGTCACTACATTGGAGAGTTTATATATAAACTAAAATGAAAGATGAATGGTGGATGATGGTAGGTAGAAAAAAATCAGGATGATTTGATTCTATAATTTATTGTGTTGGATTCAATAGGTGAGTATAGTGCATTAATAAGTAATGATTTAAATGAATATAAGATAATATATTTTAAATTTAGCTCATCTAATAATTTCTTGTTAGTTATATTATTGAGAATATATTTTGTTTTTTATTATAATTATTATTGTATAGTTATTGGCATTACCAACTATAGATAAAATGCATGAAAGTGCAATAAAATGTTTTTTTTTTTTCAAAATGATTACTTAAGTAACATGTTTAGTGTGTGAAAGTATTTATATATTTTTTAAAATTGTATCAAAAATTGAAATAAATTTAACCTTATTTAGATAAGCCTTTATATATATATTGAAAAATTCCATTTCACTAAATTATTTTAGAATAAATTAAATATTTTAAAGTAAATTGCAAATAAAATTTTTATTAGAATATCCTAACAAAATCTTTATCTTTAGGATATTTTTCTTAGTGTAATAAATTAAAAAAATCATTTTTTTGTCAAAATATGTATTTCTTAAAAAAATATAATTAAAGAAGAAAAAATGATCGGGAAACAATTTTCTCATGCATTTATTGTTAATCATATTTGAGTTGTATATTTTGGTAGACATATTTTATAGGCACAAAATATCAATGAGCAATAAACAAAAGTAAATTTCATGCAATTAATTATAATAACTTTTTAATAAAGTCATTATAGAATTATTGTTTCAGTTCAAATCAAAGTCAATTTTATGAATGATTCATGCAACTCATAGCAGTTAATGGTGGGTTTGTTATGGATAAATCAACCCAATTATGAATATTTATTATACTCAAAGAACTCATACTTGTAAAGATACATTGAGGACCATCAATTATGAAAATTTGTCCTCATTAGGAGAAATAGAGATGGCACCTTATGAAATTTAAATAAATAATTTGATATTTACTATTAAGGGGTAGGGATTATTTATAAGATCAGTGATTGTGATTGTTTTAGGAAGATTGAAAATAGTGTACTGAAGAGTCTCCAAAAATTCAATCAAAGACTAGTCATTAATTCTCGAATCATTAAACAAAGAATGGGGGCGAGATATTTAGGCTTCATTTGGGACGGTTTCTTTCATGCTTCTTAAAACTGCTTTCTAGTACAAAAATTAAAATTTTGGTACTAGAAATCTATTTTAAAAAGCATTAAAAAAAGTCATTTGAGATGACTTTCTTATTACTTTTTAAAACAACTTTTTAGTACAAAAAGTAAAAAAAAAATTATACTAAAAAACTGATTTAAGAAACAGTGAGAAAACAGTCCCAAACAAAGCATTGGAACAATTTTTAACCACTATTCTTCTGTTGATTTCAAAAAAAAAAAGTTGCTCTAAAATATTACTATAGAAAGCAATAAATAAACTATCTGCAAACAAATCCTTAATTCCCTCCTAATAACTTAAAACTTAAAAAGAATCATATAAACTAATTGGGCTGGGCTTTAATCCCTCTCCTATGAAGTCCACTTTCTCTGAAAAATTAGGCAACCACTTTCTGATAAAAAGAATCATATAAACTAATTGGGCTGGGCTTCAATCCCTCTCTTAAGAAGTCTACTTTTCTCTGAAAATTTAGGCAACCACTTTCTGATTAATTAATTTTCTAATGTACTTTATGTTCTTCTTTCTTATCAGTAAAAAATTTAGCATCTTTTCATTTCACTATTGTTTAAGAATCACATGTTTCACGTGATTTGACATTATTGGCATTTAATGAAAGCACTAATGATATATTCCTGTAAAGAAGAAAATGATTTAGATTTTAATTGTTGTGTTAATTTAATATATTTTCTTATCTTAAAAATGTAATCATCTATAATTGTGTTAGGTTTATCGTTCATCTTATCAACAGTAGAAATTATTCTGTGCGGACACCGGATGGTCCGGAGACCAATCAGAATGTACCATATCATCCGATACATAACGATATTGAGCACCGATAGCATAAAATGTGACATGACATATTTTGGTTTGTCTTCGAACATTGTCTAGGATCCACATAGAATAATTTTTCGATCAACAGAGACCTTTATAGCTAAATTCTTGCTTTCAACTCAAAATTTTGATATATATATATTTAGTAGTTACAATATAGAATGTTTGGATCGGTATTATCACTTTTTTATTTTTTAGATAAAAAAGAATTTGTGTCGCTACTACTTTCTTATTGATGTATCATTTAATAAATTTATATAATGAAAAGTTATTTTTTGCAATCAAATTAGGGCCTATTTGGGACAACTGTAGCGTTTTATAAAGTTGGTTGAGAAGCTGTTGTTGATAAAACAACTTTGCTATTATGATTCCAGAAAGAAAATTTGCGCCAAACTTTTTGAAAAGCAATAAGAAAGGATAGCAATAGTCAAATATAATTATTATTATTACGGCCTAAAAATGATAGCAACCAAAATGTTGTTCCAAATAGGCCCTTAGTTGAGTTGATGCTCCTACATTAACTTCACAATCAATATTATAAAATATTGCAACAAACCCTTAATATCAATGTGTTCTAACATTACATTCACTTGGACTATATTGAAGAAATTGACGAAAATATTTCACTTTAAATTTAATTATGATTTAAATATATTTTTTAAAATTATTTTAATAAGAGTCTGAAACGAATCTTTTCTCTCTTGGATAAGATGCAAGCATAATACGACAAAATAAATAAATAATAATAAAATTGATAGGCCTAATTTTCTCTCAAAGTAATATACTTTTAGAATTATTAAAATAATAATCATTTTATTTAAGTATAGAATTATCAAAAAAGAACACAAAGGTCAATCATTTGCTGTTGTCAGGCACATGCAGTAAGGAGAGAGAGAGAGAAAGAGTGAGTAAGTGAGAGATGAGGCCCACTTTGGTTCTCAAATGGATTGAAATTTGTGTGGCCCATACTCCTACTTTCTAAGCTATCTAGGAGAAGACATTTATGAGCTTGTTTTAGGATTTATTTAAAAATTAATAGTAAAAATTATCACATGCTAAAAAAATGGTGGTGATAAAGTGAATTTTTTTATCTTAGTATTGAAAATAAATATGGACATATAAACGAGAAGATTTGATAT